CAAAATGCAACCAGACAAAATGGGAGATGAAAAAAATAACTCAAGTTTTCTCTCTACATGTTGAAAGATGCAATTCTCAAAAAATAGGAATTGTATTTTACTGTTTTTTCACCAACAGAGCCACCAAATAAGACACCATCCTAACTAATATAGAAACACAAATTCGACATTACTTTTATTATTTTTATAGCAATATCCATTGACTAGGAGATTAACAAAGTCATGTGATCTCACCCCTACTGACTCACTCATTGTTTCATAGATTGTATTTACAGTAGGCTCTAATAGAATTATCTTTATGGAGAGTGTGGCTAGCATGGCAGGTCCTGCTCAGCCTTCCAGAACACCTCATGCCACTATGTAACTACCTGTGTCAATTTGGTATCCAATTCCATGAGTCCACATAATATTTCAAGAGAGCTAGTTTTGAAACTGGGGATTACCTTTCTATAACAGGACTTCAGGTGAACAAACAAAACAATGTTAAATGTCTTTTAAATAATATCTTCAGTTTATCTCTTTCTGTTTTTTAAAAATAAATACATTTTTTTCAGCAATTTAAATCTAGCACCCCACAGTGAGGAATGTATGGATTCATCGATATTGTGTTCGTTGGACGCAAATTTGGCACAACATGACACACACAAATACAAACAGTCGCGTTGTTCAAAATAGTGTCACTTAGTTTAAGATCATTTCTTGCCAAGATAATCATATCAATATTTCTCCTTGTTGGGTTCAAAATAATTTTCTCTGTTGTAAAATCTGCCAATAATATTAGACGGAGAAAACATTTAAATAATCTTAAAGCCGAGAATCAAATACGTTGTGTTAGCTCATGGAATATCAACGTTTACTTTCCTCGGAATTATGGGAAATCTATAAACAAAATATCGCGATATTTGATAATGTCGTCAACATTTTAAAAGAACGTTAATGAATTTCTTTATCATTTCTTGAAGTATTATCTTTGAATAAAGACACGGACAATTGCAAACACTCGGAAATTTTTTTCAATTGATGTACTTTTAATATTTCGTTGATTTTCAGTACCAGGTCAATAACCAAACAATATTTGAACTCACAATTATCCAAATATTGATTTACCTATCTTGACAAGAGGTGGCGCCATTGTGCAATAATGATTTCAAACAGAGGCTCCATCACCAAGATACCAACAAGGGCCCTTCACCATTGGTGGAAAATAAATACACAAAGAAACTTTATCTTCTGTTTCGAAGATTAAATAAAATTAAATCAACATGGTGAAAACCAGACGGATTAAATCATGAATATTAATGAAATATAAATTATAGAAAATGGTCACCAACTGACAGAACGTAATCCTGAAGAGGTTTATTAAACATTTGACTAATCTTAAACACACTTTCAATCCTGTTTTATCTAGAACAATTGAAAAGAAAGATATTCTGCCCAATTTTCACTTAGATGAGCAATGCCCTACATTGAGTAATGCTGGCTGCCTTTTATGGTTTGTCAATTTAATCAGTAACTTTGTTGTATTTTGTTGTGTTGCCTCAATTAGTGAATCCAAGTGCAATAAAACATACGATGAAAACCGATTTGAAAAAAACAGACACCAATTAACAGGCTGAGTAAGATTTTTGTAAATGTATGGAAGATAAATATGGAATTTGTGAGAATTAATTAAAATACTTCTGACCTGTGACCTTTGACCTAATTGAACTTGAATTACCTTGAAATAATCTTGATGAACTTACCTAAAATATAAAAATAAAGTTTCATTAGTTAATCACATGATATAAACAAATAAGCTAAGAAATTGATAAATGGGGGAGGGGGGACTTCTGAGGCCCACAGGGTGTATGTGTTTGTGTGTGAGGGTGTTTGTGTTTGTGTTTGTGTGTGAGGGTGTTTGTGTGAGGGTGTGGTTGGAGGTGGAATTCTTAACAGAAGGTAATGATTTGGTGTTGTATAAGTCACATTGTGTTTTTGTGTTGAGTGTATAATTTGTGTTACAATAAGTAAGTGGTACAATCTATTAGGTTGTCAGTTAGAATAGGAAAACAGCAATGAACTGTTTCCAAGAGATAGGATGTTTGTGGGAGATAATTTGCAATTTGAAGATTTACCAAAAAAAATATAATGTTATTATATAAAATGTGGTTTTTGGTCCATAATTGGACATCTGAGTTTCTAATTTTTCCAATTTTTAGCGTGTTATATTCAATTTTTCGTGTCAATTTAAATAACGCTGTTGTTGAAATGATAAATTATTGTAAATTATCTTAAATATTTGTTAATAAAAATATATATTATTTGACTTTACAAAACCAAATTAAACTTTTTAATAAAATTTAATTTCGTTGTTAATAAATATTCTCTAAATAAATCACCGTTATCTATCTGGTGATTTCAATAATTTATAAACCACTTTTAAATGTCAGTCTTCTATATCAGATCTCTCTATGTATCGTGTATCTCTCTATGTATCGTGTATCTCTCTATGTATCGTGTATCTCTCTATATCAGATCTCTTTATGTATCGTGTATCTCTCTATATCAGATCTCTATGTATCGTGTATCTCTCTATGTATTGTGTATCTCTCTATGTATCGTGTATCTCTCTATGTATCGTGTATCTCTCTATGTATCGTGTATCTCTCTATGTATCGTGTATCTCTCTATATCAGATCTCTCTATGTATCGTGTATCTCTCTAAGTATCGTGTATCTCTCTATGTATCGTGTATCTCTCTATGTATCGTGTATCTCTCTATGTATCGTGTATCTCTCTATGTATCGTGTATCTCTCTATATCGTGTATCTCTCTCTATATCGTGTATCTCTCTATATAGTGTATCTCTCTATATCGTGTATATCTCTATATCGTGTATCTCTATGTATCATATTTAATATTGTCTGAAGGAGCTTTGGACTTTCAATATAATGATACACAACAGGAATATGATGTTTGGTGCTCTGTAAAAGTAAGCAGCCCCTGGTTAGGATGAGTGAGCTAACAGGAAGTTAAATATTTTATATGATCTATTATATATAGGAAATCTAGAGAGTTTATCATGTGTTTTTACCAACCTCTCAGCATACCATCATGTCAGAAAAATACCAGGGCAGGCTGATATCTGATAACTTGATAACCTTCAACAGTTAGGTTAGAATTGATCTAGAATAAACTTGACCTATTGTTATAAGACGGTTAAAAAGGAAGAAGAGGGACACTATGGGATGAAGGCAGGGGGGATGAGGGATGGGGGAGGGGATTTTACAAGATAATCAACAATAACCAGATCAGTAGTAGATGTGTATCTAAGATATTACCAGGGAATAAGAATATAGCAGAACATGCGTAAGTGTTAAGTTTCCTGGAATCCAGGGGTTGGAATTGTTCTAAATTCTTGACAGATACAGTAACAAATGCAAATAGAATTGAGTTTAACAAAATGAGGAGGAATTGAGATGATCTGGCTTAATTCAACCAAACCAACAAAAAATATTGAGAACAATGACAACTTGTTTAAAGAAAAATTAATTTCAATGGTTCCAAAATAAACTTGACACATGATAAGAGTTTAACAAGGAGGTAGGAAGAAATATATGACAGGATATGACAATTAGATATTAAACTTGGCGGTGGACCTCACAGATTTACTTTTCACTCGTATCTCTAGATTTTAACATGCGTTATTTTAAATAGAAACATGTAATTTGTAAACATGGCTTGAGTTTGAGAAATTTGACATAATCTGAAGATTTGACAATCTACTAAATATATTATTACTATGTTGATTGTTATGTCACTTTGTAAATCATTGAATTTCAAGACAATTGATTTGTTTTGTACTGAATTACCTGCCCTTGCCCAGAAATTAACGATTGGGAATGTTTGATCGAGAATTTTTCCATCGATCTTTATTTGCCGTTGAAATTCTCAAACAAATCTTGAATCTACCTTCGTATCAATATCAAAATTTATTTGCGACATTCGGCAAATATTGGTCTGTCACATTCAGGCATAATCTGGCCACATGCCAATATCCTGCAGGCGTAATCTGGCAATGCGCCAATAACTTGCAGTCTAACTATTTATTCTCAGGCGTTATGTTTTTCTTTTTAAAATGAGAACGGCGAATTAACGTCAACATTGTCAAGTCTAGTTCAAACAGACTGGGTGATAGAGGAAAAAGTTGGTCAACAACCTGTGAATATTTTCACCATAAAGGATCAACAACCTTGGTCAGAATTTCTCCAGAGGGTTAATATTCTCATTCTCAACTTTTCTCAATCTTTGCAATAAAATTTTAATATTCAATATGGTGATATAATACTTCAAAGCAATATACCCATTCAATTGTAAAGAGGTTTTTTTAGTCTATCAGGGTCATTTATGGCTTCTATATACTTCATTCCAATTTTTCAATCTCATGTGTTTGGGAGTAAAGGATAAAATTACAAAAGCACTGGCACAGGTCTTTCAGGTATCAGTAAATTTTTATTTCTTGTAACAGTATAAGCTAATCTTGTCAAAATAGTTTATTTTTCAAAAATGATCATTTAAAAATTCTTGCAAAATCATACCACAAGATGTTTTAAATCTAAAAAAACAAACTTTGATACAATTTCTGAAAAATTAAAAGGAATTTTAATTAAATTGGACAAAGCTATAGAGAAAATGCATCAAGCATGTTTTAAGTCGAGTAGAACCCTGGGGTCCCTAATCCCTAATAAAATAATAAAAAAACATGGAATTTGAGTCGAGTTGCAGGGTAGCGAAATGTGGGACATGGAGTCTTTATTCCACTAATCCCTCTGATTGGGGTTAATCCTACCACTGAGAAACTCTACAGGATAATAAATTATGGAGGATTCAGTTTTGTTGATTTTAATTAATCCATCAGTCAGTACATGATAAATGATGATTTAAATTTGAGAATTGACCCAATTTTTTCAAATATTTATCTTATAAAAAAAGACTGACAACTGAGTGAACACTTTTCATCCCTTGGTCCTGGTGTTAGGGTGTTACGGGGTCCTGGTGTTAGGGTGTTACAGGGTCCTGGTGTTAGGGTGTTACAGGGTCCTGGTGTTAGAGTGTTACAGGGTCCTGGTGTTAGGGTGTTACAGGGTCCTGGTGTTAGAGTGTTACAGGGTCCTGGTGTTAGGGTGTTACAGGGTCCTGGTGTTAGAGTGTTACAGGGTCCTGGTGTTAAGAGTGTTACAGGGTCCTGGTGTTAAGAGTGTTACAGGGTCCTGGTGTTAAGAGTGTTACAGGGTCCTGGTGTTAGAGTGTTACAGGGTCCTGGTGTTAGAGTGTTACAGGGTCCTGGTGTTAAGAGTGTTACAGGGTCCTGGTGTTAAGAGTGTTACAGGGTCCTGGTGTTAGAGTGTTACAGGGTCCTGGTGTTAGAGTGTTACAGGGTCCTGGTGTTAGGGTGTTACAGGATCCTTTAGTCAATGATCATATTGGTAATTAACACTAGTTGCCATTGTTTATAATCTCTATTTGGCTGAGTTAAAGTGATTATAAAGAGGTTTTCTAAACTTTATAAGCTTATCAATCAGAGAAACTGATAGCATCCATTTGCACCATTCCAATTTTCAGTCAGATGTCTGTGGGTTAACCTGTTTTCGCTATTATTGCAAAAGTTGCTTATAATATTTCTAAATAATCCCTTTAAAGTACATTTATTTAAAGGGTCACTACCACAAACTAAATATGTTTGCATTGAAAAAGGACTACGTGCATAGAAACTGGGGTTAACGCCCGACTGTTTTTACACCTGAGTAAGGTATTGGACATGACAGGGGTCTACGTGCTTCTAACAAACTTCATAATTTACCTATAAAATAACACGATATGCGCTGCTTTTTTAAAATTTCATGCATTATGATTTTTTCATGTTTTATGAGTTTAAAATTTTGTATACACGGTTATATTGAAGCTATACAGTTTAAATTCCATACAGCATAACATTCAGGTTGTAAAATCTAATGTACTACATTGTATCACAATATAATCTTATCTAAATTGAAAATAAAAACCACACGCCAACTAAATAACCTCATTTGAATAAAAATAAAAGTATTACTTTTTAGCACTGATGTTGGGATAAACTGATGATATCTTGGTGGATCTAGGATAATTTTTCATCTCATGGATACCAACAATTATAATATGTGATAACCATGACGATATACCGAATAATGAGGTGTCAAATTGCATAACGATAACATTGAATATAAAAATAGAAGAGAAACGATAAAATCGGGAGTATTAATCTAATATTATGTTTTATTACAATATAAAAATAATATTTAAACTAAAATAATTAAAATTTGAATAAAGATATTGTAGTAGTGGTTTCAAGTGTGGTATTTCTGTAATATTTTCTAGATATTGGAATTTAAGGAGATCTTTATTGAGTTTTAAACCATTAAAATATATTGAGAGAACTGTTTAAACATTAACAGTCAGGATCTCATAATACAGTTATATCACGTAGAATCTGTTCATATTATATAGGAGCATTCAATTTACAATGTTTTCAAATGAGTTCTTCTAATGATAGAAAGTATGTATGCATAAATAAAGTACTTCTGAAAACGAAACCTGAAATCCAAATTATTTTGGCAAAACATTGGTAGCATCTAATGAACTGTTCACATGAGGAATTATATCAATTATAAATGAGGAAATATATCATAATGAAAAGTGGTATCAGAAGAGTAATCATACCTTGCCTGGCGCCACGCCCGAATATTATCTAGATTATAATTTTGTGAAACATGGGCCAGGCAACAAGTTAGAGAAAGTTCAGGCTTTAAGAGTTATAGCTGTAGAAAGACCAGAATGACCAACTATAAAGCCTTGAAATTCACAACAATTGATCAAATCTAATCTAAGAAATACAACATTCAAATGAATTAACAACAAATTTAAAATGTTTAAAAAATAATTTAGCACAAAGTATAACATAAATTTCAACACTGGTCCTTTTAGAGTATATATATTATACTGTATATTTTAACGTTCACCGAGATACCAACCAGATTCAAATTTGAAAAACCGACACGATAAATCATTCTTCGCAATGTTATTCTTTCTTATCTTCACTGACTAGAGAGCTCTGAAGAAAAACCGTTTTTCTGACAGGAGATAAACTGGCGTGTAACAATACCATCAGTCTGGGTAGATAAACAGTTCCAAATACACCATAAATTCACCTTCACATATCACCTTTCAAATGAGGCTTGAGAAAGTTTTCTAAATATAATAAATTCTACTTTAAGAACCTGCCGACCATTTACCAAAATATCAGAATTTCTTGACTCTTAATTCAATTGTTTTAAGTTATGAATATATTTGGTGAAGTTGGTGAACACATAGTCCAACTTTTAAATGGGTTTTGTCAACTCTCTTATTTGGTATTAAGTTTTATCACCCCTTTTAGAGAGTCCACATACCAAATAATATATTGTTTATAAGATTTATTTATTGCAAGAGAAAAATTCGGTAACATGGATAGAGTTAAAAAGATTCAAAACTGTCTTGGTTCTAGAGAACAGGGTTAACACAATCAACTCCGAAATAAAATAGAGTTTTACTTTCTACTATTCAGCTCTGAGTCTGGACTAATGAATTCAGTCCAACTAAGACCAGTCCCAATGTTATATAATATATTTAAAATAATCCTGTACAGTACAGTAATATGATAGAGCCATTTAATCTTATTAATCTTTAATCTTAATCCAATAATCCCTGTATAGATTATTACAGAATGGATATAATTCGATATTACCTATAAAGACTTACAAGTTAACAGTATTAAAGCTATATATATTAAAAAGAATGTTAGGATATAACATGTGAACCATCTTAAATTTACCTGAAATGAATATCTGAGGCTTTCAAAATTTTGTTAGAAAGAACCAAAGTTAGATGTCAAAAACACAGCACTGAAGATATTATATGTGAACTCTCTGAATTCAAACTTGTGTGGCCATTTCTAAGAGATTGAATTGTCTAAAAATTTGAGAAACTAGAAAGTGAAATGAAATGAGTTTTACGTCCTACTCTTCTGTATTTAATTTACCTTATGAAGACGGGCATAGTGTCAAATATAAAAAATAACACAGAATATATTGCATATGAACATTGTATATTGGAATTTTAAAATGTATGAGAGTATCTGTGTTGGAGTTTTAAAAATATTTTTCTCGTCACACAAACATTAAATACAAAATAAAAACAAAACACCATAAATATTCTCATAAATTGATCAAATTCAAGCTACAGCCTACAGAATATTTCAAGTCAACTCATTTAATTTTACATTAAAAATAGTTTTCACTCTTACTAAAGTCAAGTTTTTGTGAGAAAAACCAGAAAGAGTTGTGGAATATAAAATAAAACACATGTAGAACACAAACTACACGTATTAACAAATTATTCCCTGGTGACCTAGACTACAACATTCACCATTTAAAGTTCACCAACTTAAATAAACATTAAATTCTAAAATAAAACCATGTGAGGTCACCCTTTCAACTGATTTTATACTGTGGTTTTCTGGTGCAGTTTTGACAATTATGATTTATATTCAACATGGTGAACATGCTTGTCATTGACAGGTCTATTAATTGTTGAAAATTTCACGACTTTTACTGATAAATAAAGATTTGGAGATGCTACCTGTTACAGGTCATCTCTCACAGCAATAAATGGGTAAATGATAAATTTAGAAATACAAGTTGAAAGTAACGTAACGTAACGTAACGTTGGTCAGATGAACCATGGTTTTAATTGGTACCTTTAAGGTGCTGGCACACGAGCGGTCTCGGTCTCATATTATAAATCCTGTCGGGGTTGTGATAATCTTGTCATGGAAACACTGGGAAACTCGCAATATTACTCAAGACTCTAATCGGCGACAAAAATCTCCCACCAAGACCGCTCGTGTGCCCGCACCTCAACATTCAATGTGTTTTTTTTATTTTTTGTAAAACGTACTTCTAGAGAATCTTACAGGCAATGAATTTTATCTGACTTCAAAGTTTCAGACCCACTTGTAACCATCACCCGTTTCTTGACTCAATCTTCATTCGTGGCGTGACAGAGTTGAACAGGTGGTGCTGTATGTAAAGAATCTTTCCCATCATGCATTGAATAAACATAAAATTCATTCACTGAACCGTTCCTACCATCTACAAGTGGTTGTTGATATATCATACTCTACTTTTTTCAGAAATTTGGCAGCAACTTCAAAAAGTTATTTCCAAATTGAACTCGAAATTTCAGATAAGTGGAAAAAATGTCTTGTTTTTCAACCAGATAAATCTAAATGCTTTTAAAATTTACACATTAAAGAGCATCTTCAGATCTTCAACTTTGAAAAAATAATTCTATGATTTTACAAGATTTCATAAGTCTTTCTTCAGACTTACATTTATAACAGAATATCTGCATATTTTCAATTTCTTAAAAATATAAGATTTCTATGCTTTTCTTTAATAAAATATCATGAATTAACTTCAAAATTCTACTCAAAATGTTAATTTTTGAATAAACTCTGTATGAATTGATGCACGTTCTATTTGTACAAAGGGTGAGACAAGCTTAAAAGATACTCGCAAAATAATTTGACATAATTTTATTTATTCTTAATTCAAAGATTCAAGTTTTTTTTAAATTCATATATTAGTTGAAATTTAATCCTCTGTTGAAAACTATATTCAAGGATCTTTTCTTTTTTATCAAGAGTCACTGAAGATCTTATACCTTGACCACAATATTACACACTTCATCTTATACTTTTACTCATCTTCACAATGTCAAGTTATTACTAACTCAAATATCACATAATTGGTTCTTAAACTCAGCCTGTTTTTTTAAATATTTGCAGAAAATTTAAGATTCCATCACAATCACAAACAACTATTACAAATTATCTAAGGATTTCAATAAGGGAAAGTTTCTTGAATCCATACAGTTATTATTCTAACCATACAGTTATTATTCTGACCATACAGTTATTATTTATTCTAACCATACAGTTATTATTCTAACCATACAGTTATTATTCTAACCATACAGTTATTATTCTAACCATACAGTTATTATTCTAACCATACAGTTATTATTCTGACCATACAGTTATTATTTATTCTAACTACAGTTATTATTCTAACCATACAGTTATTATTCTAACCATACAGTTATTATTCTAACCATACAG